ATAAAGTATAGCACAATAAATATTAGGATAGAAAAATGTATTTAAGATCTCAGTTTTTGCGTTAATAAAGTTTCCTTAGACTTTGATGTCTTGAATAAAGAAAAATAAAAGTTGAATTTTCACTTGATTAAATACATTTTGAATACTATTGTTAAACATTTATTTTTACATTTTATTTTCTTTTCTTATATTTTTATTATTTACTTCTTCTATATAGTTATTACTCTGGGATTGTTATTATATGTTATCTAAATCTCTAACCTATTTATTAAGTTCTCACCATTATTATCTATAAACGATCTTATTATTCTACCCTTAACCCACCTGTTTACTATATATAGACATGTCTTGTTGTATTAGAAGCATTATTATCCTCAAATGCCATTATTAGAACACCCTTTAAGTTATCCTTAAATTATATACATAATCCCAATTAAAACTAATTTAGTAAGGACCCGATCCTAATCTGCCTAAATCGTGACTGTAACTCACATACCTAAGCTTTAACGAATGATACTTATAAGCTTATTGAGTTTATTATTAGAGCTAAATTATACCATATATCTATATCTGCTCTCCCAACAACAGTAATACTATTCGTTTTGTAGATGTGCCAAAAATGTTTAATGAAATTTTTGTTGCGTGGACTGCTAGTCTGAAATTTATCCAAAAAGCAAAAAAATATTTTAAAAGAAATTGTGAATTTGTGAAAGATATAGTTGAATTTAATAGTACTAAAGAATTTGGAAAAATAAAGCAAGCTTGCGAGCAGAATTTTCAGGCCTATTTATAACAATTTTAAACAGATTAGTAGTAAAGAGTGAAATGGCAAATAGCTATATGATGCAAGCAAATAAAATCATGAATAGTACATTAGAAATACATAACAAGAAAAATAAAGAAACTTCTTATGCTATCAATATTAAAAATGAGGGTGCTATATTGGTATTAATTCTAATATAGTATTATTATTTCATAGAGTCTCAATTTAACATATTTTCTATATTTCTCTGGAAAGACTCTAATTAAGTGTATGTAATAACAAATTTATAGAAAAACCAACCATATAAAAATAATCTTAAAAGAAACTAGACAACGATAGCGAATTATCAGATTATAATAGATTAGTATTTTTATTTAATAATTCAAACAAAGATATGATTATGGAAAAAATCGCTGAAAATACTCTTAAGGAGGAAAGCAAATTGCTATTAGCAAGTGACAATAAGGTAAATCTAATAATACTTTATATTAGCACTATCTATTCAATAGAGTCTGTTCAGATTCATATCTTTAACTGTTTTGAATGTATTTTGAAAATATCAAAATAAAATCAGACTCGCAAAGTAGTTATATAAGTTTTATTTATAAAAATAACAATCATAGTTAATTATTGTTGCTTTTTTTTTTCATCATCTTATAGCCCTGTATATTGGGGTGCTTGACTTAACTAGAGAGCCTATGTGATTGTAAAGAAATTACTGAAGATGACTTACTCAAGATTTTGCTGATCATAAATATGAACTAGCACCAAAAAACATTCAGAATTTTTTTGACAATCATTGTAAAAAACTCAACAATAGTGATGAAAATAAATATTTTGATACAAATATATATATCAATTTTGCAAGTGTATTGATTACCTAGCACTTACATTCTGATTTTATATTATTGTGCAAAAAGATAAGCATGTTTTCCTTTCAAGAAATATTGACTAAAAAACAGTTAAAAAATAATATTTTCTTTTCTATTGTTTAACAGAATATTTATATACAATTACATAAAGTATGCCTGGTAAGTTTATTTTCTTTTTACAAATACATTGAATATTTTGATTCTATAGTAACAATTCTTCTGTGTATAGAGAAGAAATTCAGGTTTATGGCAACTAGTGTGAAACCTAGGGCAGACTACTTAAATAGGCAATCAAAAGTTGCATGTATAGCTAGTCGTACTCTCGTTAGTAATAACCAGAGAGCTTAAATAAGTAATCTCCTAATTAGATTGCAGGTATGGCGGCTAGTGTAGAACCCAGGCGGACTACTTAAATTAGATACCCAAAAGGTGTATGTGTAGCTAGTTGTATCCTCATAAATCTAATGTAATATCGTAACTATCTGAAATAAAGCTCATGCCAATAGCCTAAGTGGTCACCTTTAATATTAAAAAAAAAAAAAAAACTAAATATTATAGTAATATATAGTAATTTAAGCTAGCTAAGGCAGCCATGGCTAAGCCAGCTTAGCCAGCTAAGCTAGCCAATATAATGTATTTGGTTGGCTAATATGGCTAAAGATTAGTATATAGTAGATTTTGGTAAATTCTAAAAAGCAAGTATAAAATACAAGCAAAATTTTTAAAAAGTTTACAGAAATTTTTTAGAAGTATAGCTATTAGCTAGCCGATTAGCTGATATCTTAGTCGGCTAGCTTAGCTAGCCAACTAAAACTTTATAGCTTAAATCACTAATAATATAATACTTTGTATAATAGTAAATTTGCAGATCTTTGTATTCTTTTCTTTAACCTCAAGTATTTTGAGATTTACCAAGCCAATTTTAATGAACTAACCACCATTAGGATCAGAAAAACTCCTTCTACAACTTTTTCTAAAGCTGAAAGAGACCTTTACTTAGTAGAACCTTCTTTAATCTTTAAAGGATTATTTTAACCAATCATATTATTAATTGGGGTAAGTTACTCATTTGATCTAAAGAATATATAAAAAACAATAAAAAAGTTAAAGAACTTTAGCTCAAGATCCTTCTCTAACTACTTGATATTTGAATTTGTAATTTTGCAAAAGAATTCAAAAAATGCTAAAGAATATAAGTCTCATATCTAAAGCTATTCTTTATATTTACTTTTTTGAATAAATTAAAAAAAAGTATTTTTTTTGCCAAAATTTACATATAAATTAGAGTAGGTCATCTCATTTGATTTATATTTAATTTAAGTCTAGAAGACATATCTCTTGACTGTTATATATTGATTGGCTAATTTAATTAATATTTAGAATCAAATTTAGATCATATTTATTATATAAATAATATTAACTTTATCAAATAGCATATTATTTATATAAATGATCTTTGCCTAGTAGATATAATTAATATAATAATTTTAAAACTATAAGCTTTGATTTAACAAAACCTTCAAAGCAACCTATTCTAATATTTTACTATTTTGAAATATCCTATTGAATTTAAAACAATATATATAAAAAAAAACATGTATATATAGGGTTGAGTCAATAGAAATCAAGCAAATATTTTTTAATAAATTTTTTTAAACCTTTAAACAAGAATAATTTAACAAAAACTTAAACAAATTTAATAAAATTTTTTTTAAACTAATTCTACAAGTTTATAAAAATTATTTAAAAAAATTTTTATTAAATTTGGTTACATTTTTGTTAAGTTATTCTTGCTTAAAGTTATAAAAAATTTTTATTATAAAAAATTTGCTTGATTTCTATTGACTCACCCCATATAATAATAGAAAATAGAGCTGAAGCTATAGTAAATGAAGAGAATGAATTAGAATTGATTACTCAAAGTACTATATTTTGTTATTTAATACTCTTTCATTACATTGTTAATTTGTTGTATTTTATATTAGAGAGGAAAAAGCGTACCTACATTTGTGAAAATTGTGATAAAGATGATCATCACAAATTCTAGTACCATGATAACATGTAGAAATATGGTATGTATGTTATTTATTATTATAGAACTTATATATGATACCTAATAATACTGCTATCAACTAATTATACTTTATACTTAATGTACTTTTATTATTTAGATATTTTATTAATAACTCTATTCTTTATAAGGGTGTGGTGACTTAGTGAAGTGGTGGAGTTGTCGCACTCCCAAATGGCAGATCTAGAGTTCAAATCCCACAAACGATGATTTTAAAAAAACTAGATCTGTATCGGTTAATGTTAAGATTATCGGTTGGATCCAGATATCTGTAATTTTGGTCACACCATCTCGAATGGGAGCTTTGGCGCAATAAATC